CACAAACAGAGGAAGATAACGTTTAGCAAGTTTCCCATCAGCTAAGCAAATCTTTCCCATTGTGAGCCACGCTTGTATATACAATGACGGGGCAATCTGCTTTATATCAACTACAAGCCCAGGTAAGTTGCTAGATTTAGAATCTGAACTTCTTGAAGTGATTATGGTGTGTATGGTTGGAACAATAGTCTTTAAATCGGATGAAGGGCAGACTATAACCAGCGATCCAATAGTGTAAACAGCAATAACTGCTTTAGCTAATAACTTCGAATCGGCTTTTCTTGGTGTTTTACGACTCCCCGTGTTATGTGGGGTGAGAAAAGCGTTCTCTTTATCGGAACCTGATATTTTGGACATGTACGAATCTAGAACTTTGGAGGCTTTAGATTGAAGCTGGTCCACCCATCTTGTTACAAGGTAGTCGCCCTCTGCTTGGTTTAAGGCCTTCCTTTTGCACAGGGTTCTGAGTGCTTTTACATGGGCATTAACCTGGTGGCAAGCTGTGTTGTAAGTAAACTGAAGGAACATTTCAAAAGTGGTATCAACCATAAATAATACGCATCGACAAAGAACAATGACAAAATTCTCATAGTAAGTGTGTCGTAGAAAAAGTCCCTTTATAGGTCATGACGCAAGAAAATTGACATTTGAATTTCCACTCCACACTCTTCATTCAATCTGTGACATTTAAGTTTATGTACCATATATCACAGGCCAATACCAATATCCTTGAAGCCCAAATCAACACGACAGAACAGATAAAAGTAACTACACGTCACCCCAATAAAATTGTTCCACAGTCACCTCAGAAAACACAGTTGTATCCACAATGCTTTTAGGTTTATCAAGCATGTTGAAACATGGATAAATATATCAACCTAACCATTTTAACATGAAGATATTTTTCTGAACAGCCAAGAGAGCAGAGGCCAGTCTCAATGGTTATGTATGCTAAGCATAACAAAAGCCTTTTTAACATCACGTAAAGAGTCTAGTTCCATCACCCAAGTTTACATGATGAATTAGGATATTGATCAATGCTAAGAAATGATTTTCCGTAAAATTCACCTTTGTCAAGAGCCACAAACTGAACAGAGAGAATTCAAAAGAAAAAGGAAAAAGAGTACAATTACAACAGTTTTATACTTATATCAATATGCAAGTGCAATTAGGTCAAACTCAAAATTCATATACCTCAGTCGAATGCATATTAAACCTCTCAAGCCGTTTGAGAAAATTTTGTGCAAGATCTGCAGCAGGTTCTGGGGGTAATTCCATAGAAACATTTGAAATCGTCTGTAAGAGGTAAACACGATCCTTCACCCAATCAACAGAACTAGACTCAACATCAACCATTTCCACATCATCCTCATATCCCTGTGCACAAGGGCTTTGAACCTTGCTAACTGGCTTAAACTTGTCAACAAGCTGCCAATGATGCTTCAAGAATTCCCATTCAATTGATTTAGAAAGAAATGAAGATACTTCTGACAAGAGAAACCAGACGCCAGGTGGTGCTGTCCACTTCTGGATTGGCATGGAATGGCTCAGCCATTGAGATTCGGATTTCTTAATGATGTTCTGAAGTGCAGTAGCAATTTTCTTGTGGAGTTTCTTCTTTTTCCCCAGGCTCGAGCAGATTTTTCTCACCCAAGGTGACACCTCAGCATCACAGACCTCTTTCAACAAAATTAAGACTCCTTCTGGATATAAGGATTCAGAGTCTTCCATACTGAAGCTATGTTTTTCCCCTTTTGTATCACGAGCAATAGTATCATGTTCAGCTGAAAAGTTTGATCCAGCTCTTGATATGCGATCGAGAACTAGTTCAAGGAAAAGGTTCTCACATTCTTCTTGGATGCTGGTTTCGTTATCACTGATTAAACGTGGGATAGAATGCATCCATTCCTTGGTCACAAAGCAGTTCGAGTATGTCCTAAAGGCCTACATCCCAAAAAACAAAGAATTTGTTTCAAGACTGAAACCATTGATAAACTCTACCACTCTTTTCACAAACAGCAAAACAATGTTCTAAGATGTAGATACCATGAAATTCATGAACTAAAAAGAAAAGCTGGAAATGAGAGTAGGTACACAAAGATGGCTTTCAATTAAGGGAGATCATATCAAAGTTCAGATGTCTGATTGGCTTGAAATAATTAGAAACGAGTAAACCACAAATACATTTTCAGTTTTTACCTCGGACATGGCCAATGTTGCCACTTTCCTAATGCTAACAAGTGGATCCGAGCAAGCCATGCCCACTGTCTTTAGCAGCTCCTCATCAACTTCGCCTCCTAAAAGTGCAATCAACTTTGATATGAGTACGAGAGCCGCCTTTCGAACGGCCGCTTTCTCATCCATACATCTTAGCTTAAGAATCTTGTTAACCCCACCAACCCTTTCATGCCCAAATCCCATCACCTCTTTCAACAATACTCGATTTTTATCATCTCCCAACAAGGACACAACCACCTGAGCTAAAGTTGCTAAGGCTCTTGCTCTAATAGCAGCCGTCAAATCAGAACAACGCTGAATAAGTGTTTCCAATAGCCTCAGACCCCATGAGTCCCCTTCACCCTCAGCTGAGTCGAACCCGAAAGGACCCTTCACCGACATAATTAAAACGGGTATTAAATCCACTGATAAAAGCCTCAACTGCCCCTTCCCTTGGCTCATCTTCACCACGTAATCAGCAAATTTTACCTGATGCTCAGAATCCAAGGCCTTAACAATTTCAATAATTGACTCGACTGCTAAAGCCCTTGGATCGGCCCGTTCTGGAGATTTTTGTACCAAATATTTAGGCATGTTGGCAACTGCCTTCTTGATGCCATCTGAGTTTTCACCCATCTTTATCGTTTTAATTACCACAAAACACAAAGCAAAACTCCTTACTTGTGTTTTAGAGGACAAGATTAACGGGGCTAACGCCTTCATTACCTCGGCAGCAGTATCTCCTTGAATCCCGTGCTCGGCTTTCAAAGCTTCACTTAAGACTTCCGAAGACAATTCACATAACCTCTTAAAACTCCCCAAATTTCCCCAATTCTCCACAGCCGTCATTGGGATCTCACACACGGTCTGAACCAAAGCCTTCAAACAATCTGGAAAACGGTCCAAGTGGACCAAATCCATCACATGTATCAACTTTTCGAGCAATGTGAATAAATCCCCAACATCAAAATCTCCTTCTTCAGCAGAACTCGCTGCAAATTCCCTATTTCCTGAGCCTTTCTTATTCCCCAAATTATTCCTCTTTCCCTTCTTCTTTTTCCCCAGGCTTCGAATCACTGACCCTTCACTTGAAACCGAAGAAGGTTTCTTGATGGCCAAGCGTATGGCACGAAGGAGGCTGAGAAAAGCCATTGGAGTAAACAACGTGAAAACTGGTGAATTGGGGGATAAAAGGAGAGAAAGATAGACTTTTGATGCCAAAATGGAAATACTGGAGCTGAGCCCAGTATCCATGGCGGAGGAAACTTCATTAGCGAGGGAACTGAGTGAAAGATTTCTTGCAGACAGTTCACTGTACAGATTCTCAAGATCAATTGGGTCGTTGGTTTTCAGAGTGTAATCTAACAGGGTACCTAGATCTTTCAGAAACGACTCTGAAATTGGCGACTGGGTCTCGAGGTTGGAGATTATTCGAGCTGTAATTTCGTCCATGGCGGAACTTTGGCTGAATGGATGTTCACGAGATTGGGTGTGGTATGAATGACGAAAGGCATTTGAATTTTGCTTCGTTCCCGCTTTGAAGTTTGGGATGACGTGAACGACGGCGTTTTTGTATATTTTAGGTCAAGTTTACATTATTTCCCTTTTGGTAATTGGTATATAAAGTTTTTATTAATCAATTTTAGTAATTAACTAGTACATAACTCGTGCGATGCACGGCCAATATTTATTTTGGTAAAGGTTATTAATCAATAAGTTATAATACGTAGAACATTTGTCAAGTAATCATGAAAAATTCATTCATTATTAAAAACCTCCTTATACACAACATTATTAGTTTGATTGTCGGACTACTCATCGTCCTCACAAACTAATACTTTCAACCCCTTCATATTAGTTACACACAAAACGACAGTATATAACTGGTCATGACTAAATATCGATTTTTTAAGAGCATGCCAAAATGAGAAAATATACGACTCTGGCTCTTGTTTATGGTCATGGTATACAAAATCATAAGGGGGAACTGCCTACGCTGGAACGTAAACGGAAGCCTAACATCGGAAGGTATCATATTCATTCGAGGAATCAACACATTCTCACCTTCATGATCTCTAGTCAATATCTTACCTTCAAGCACATGAGTAGAGAACTTGGTAACAACCAAGCGTGTTCCATTGCACAATCTCATAGAATGGTCCACGTTCCTTAATAACATGATTGGAGTTCTAATTTTCGAATGCAATTTATGGTTCGGTGTTCCTGAAAACTTGATGCTATTCAAGAACTCGGGAGTGTGGAGATTTTTCCCAAAACCAAAAAAGTCATTATTCGAGTGGGACTTCCACATAATGTCAGAGCTCAAATACATACGACTTTCGTCATAATTCATCTCCGACATGTATTAATTGATAGACTCAATGACCTCCAAAGTAGGCGCTAATAGAGCACTATCATTCAAATATCTTAAATTGTCAGTTGTATTCTTGAAATTGGATATGTACTTTTCACGATTGTAGCAATTGGATCATCGAAGGGTTCCAATGTTGTAACATCTAGAATGTTAATTTAGGTACAACCATCATTTGATCCTCCTACAGGCCCATCTCCAATGCTAACAATCCAATCAGTAAACGTTGCTACCTTGTCACGCTCGTCTGAATAAAAAATGTTCTGAAGACGCATGTTTTTTGAAAGTCGCAACACAGTACAGTCCCTCCAAATGGTGGAAGCATTAATAGTTGCATTCACAATATCCTAACAACTCCCCTTTGAAATGACTGGAAGTATTTGTCAGAAGTCTCCACAAAAAAATATCGAAATGAAAGTGAAAAGATAAAAGAAATAATAAACAATATTATACCTCAATTTATGAAAAATAATTTCTATGATGTTATGAAAAGAATTAAGAAATTTACTCTCAAACATGCGAACCACTCGAAGTTGCGGCATAACTCTCTTTGCTCGTTCAACTTCCTCGGTAAGACGGAAAGGTTGATCTATTTTTTTGTTTGGCACTTACTATGGATTCACTAATTACTCGTATGTTCGTCAATTGTGATTTTTTGTGTGGGGTTGATATGATACTTATAAGCATACTAATCGTTTTAACAACAAATAATATAGAAATAAAATTACATTGAATGCTAATGGTGATTTTCATTCATATTGTATATTTTTTTCACGTGAATGCTAATTGTGTATTATTTTCTCTCGTTGTTTATTACGTTTTATATTGGAAAGACTGAGAATGTTGTAGTTATTTATATTGCACTTTTATATCTTATTTTTATATATAAAAAAATTTAAAATTTTAAATTGTAAATATAACATGTCTAATACCATCGAACGTTAATGGTGATTTTTATTCATATTGTATATTTTTTTCACGTGAATGCTAATTGTGTATCATCAAAATTGTGTATTTTTTTCACGCGTTGTTTATTACGTTTTTTTATTGGAAAAACTGAGAATGTTGTAGTTGTTTATGTTGCACTTTTATATCTTATTTTTATATATAAAAAAAACCTATAAAATTTCAAATTATAAATATAACATGCCTAATACCATTGATGATTTAAAGTTTATTTGCAAATAAAAGTAAAAAATATATGTTGCCCATTTGTAAAATGTGATTTCAATTTTTAATCAATAATTTATAAAAAATCTGATAGATAGAAAAAATTACACTCGACAAAATTATTTCCATACAACCCGTGATTTTATAAAATGATTTGATAAACGAATTTTATTTTTAATAAGTAATTTTATAAAATCTGATAGATATAAAAAATATTAGTTGAGAAAATCATTTTCATAAAAACCGAGATTTTATGAAAAGGCTTGATTTTAATTTAATTTAGAACGTATACAACAACAAAGGATCCAAGAATCTAAATAAAAATGATTTGACAATACCACTGATTTTTTAAAATATGTTGATATGAAGATAAAATACCCAACACTACCCTAAAAAGTGGATCATGATAAACTAAAATAATTTGAGTGTAAATAAATTGGTATGTATAAAATAAATCGCTATAAATATGCTAACAGAATATTGCACGCACCATTAAATCTTCTAACAAATATGTTATAACAGAATATATCTAACAGAATATTTAAATACAATCCGGATTCCATTTTAATAGGAAACTATAATAGTGTAATTACTATTTTTTATTTAAAATAGATTCTAAAATCACCATATTTAGTGTGTAATTAATGTTTTTGGCGGGAAAGACTTTCTAAAAGTGAATTATGTTAATCCTTATTATATATTAATAGATATTTTGTGCCTGAGTCACTTTTGATCTGCTTCATCTATATCCATATCTATATCTATATATATATCTATATAAATAGATTAACAATTAACAAAAATATTTACAACAAAAATCGAACAAGATATATTGCACACTACTTTTGGAAAGATTTTTGAAAATTTTCAGACAACAATAACTGAAAGACTAAAATACAGATCCACTTTTCGTTTCATACACATTTGTTCCCAGAAATTCTATGGCACCACATGTGGCACCATATTATGGTGCCACAACATGACGTGACACATTATGATTGGTGTTTTTTATCACACATCATGTTTGTGGCACCAATCATAATGTGCCACATCATGTTGTGGCACCATAATATAGTGCCACATGTGGTGCCATAGAATTTCTGCATTTGTTCCCCTATCAAATAGGATACACTCCATTAAAAATCGTTGAAAAGTATTCATCACAATTAAAGAATTTGAACGCCATGATTAAAGAATTTGATTCACCACAAACTCTTTAATTGCATAAGATCTATCTTATAATCCTTGCATGCCATCTATGAAATAAACAACATCCCTATTTCACTTTATCCTATGAAACAGAAAATCCTTGCATATCGTCCATGAGATAAATCTCATCCCTACACGCAAAAATACGCAATGAAAGAGTCTTGGTGATAAAGCTTATTTTCCAAAAAAAAAAAATAGAAGAATTTTACGAGTTGTTGTTTCGCGTGTAACTAATAGAAGGGGGTTGAAGATATTGGTTTTTGAGAATGACGAGTTGCCTAATAATCAAACTCATAATGTTATGTACAAGGAGGTCTTTAATAATATATGATCATTTATTTGTCTAATACTATCTTATTGTATAATTTATCCGCTTATTATAAATTTTTTATTTAATTATGCATCTTATAATATAATATTTTCTAAATAAATATAGTTCGTGCATCGCACGGGTTACGCACTAGTTGAAAACAAACGGTTCAAGAGAATTGTAGAAAATTGCAAAACAAATAAAAAAAGAATGCATAAATTGACGCATCAAAGTAATGCCCATATGAATTGAATACATAAAATTGATTTAGGGCTATAGTTTATAAAAGCATCTATATATATATAGGGTCGCGCTCCAGTGAGAATGGTGCCCTAGGAAAGAAATAAGAATAAATCATAGCCATTAGATGGGATGATCTTATGGCTAATAAGAAAGTCAAATTTATACCTTCATTAAGGGTAAGATGGACATTTACTCACACACCAAATAAATCCATTACATTAGTGGGCCCCATCCCAATTAAAAAACATTTACACTTTCCCCATACCACCCGTCACCTACCCTTTTCTCTCTCTCTCTCTCTCTCTCTCTCTCTCTCTCTCTCTCTCTCTCTCTCTCTCTCTCTCTCTCACACACACACACACACACACACACAAAAACACACAGCACCTTCGCGTCACAGCCTCTCGTCGGTCACCGCCCGCGAGCACCACCTTTGTCATCACCTTCCTCAGCCACCTACCGGTTTCTTCCGCTAGCCACTCAGACATGCACGACGACTCACATGTCTGCCTTTCCGTCGGTGACCACTACTCAGCGGCCAACGTCGTTTGCCCCGCCATCGTCGAAGCCGCCATTTATGCCGTTCACGAGTCCAGCAACAAAACAAACACGACTGATTTCCGCCCACCTTCACAAGAGCTGCGCGCCGCCATTGAAGTCTTCGTCTCCGACGTCATCCTCCACCGCTAAGCATGCAGCAGCGCCGAAAAATCGATCTTCCAGCTTAAAGATCAAGCTTCAATGGCAGTTTTTGTTAAAAAAAAAAAATACATTGCCGGAAAGTCGCGACGTAGGCAATCGCCAGGCAGAGAAGCTGGCGCACGGGGGTGGAGAGAGCATAGAAGCAACAGTGTGGGCTTGGGTATGATTTTTTAAAATTAGACAATGTTTAAGGACTAAATTGCAATTTTATGAAGTTTAAATAAATTTCAGTTTGGCTATTGTGTCAAATGTGTGATTTATAGAAAGTTTTAAAAAAGTCATATTAATGATAAATAAAATACAAAAATATATTGTGTATATTCACATTAAATATTGTCGCATCGGGAATGCACAATACAAACAAACGAATTGCACATTAATGCCTTATTGATTGCACAATAACAACCTAATGTGAATGAACTAAAATATTTGATTTGAAATTTTGTA